TGCAGTAGTGTCAATAGAATTTGTAACGTTATTGTTAATAGAGCGGTATGGGTTTGTGTACATGCGAACTCTAACAAAACAAAAATCTGTTACTTCAAATATCCCTGGTATCTGATACAACAGATATACCAGATACCCGGCTTCATATATCCCAGATAGGATAACTTTAGCTCTATTGACAAACTCAACACCCATCTATATCTTACATTATAGGTCTTTTTTTTTCCGACATCAGCCTTTCTGCTGCACCCCCCCCCCCCCCCGTACGCGCCACCCCACCGTATTAAAAAGACACGACCCTAATACCCCGAGATTTGAGTAGAATGGCCTGGCGCTCTACGTTATTCTTGCCAACCCTGACTATGTGGAACGGCCGTAAAATCAATGCCACCTCCCTGACAAGCCATGCATCTTAGTTTTCAAATTATTTCCGTTGCCATGGCGATTCAATATAAACATGATTGGTCGTAAAAAGATCTTTTGTGTTAAGCTATTTTCAGGGGTGGATAATCGTTGGCACGCAAACTGTGGAAACCTTTTTTCTCTCCCTTTTTGACCGTAAGAAAAAAATAATAGAAAGCTGGTCTGGCTTGGTACTCGCTTAGCTAAGTTTATATTCTTTTTTTTTGTTTTAATGCTCTGACACATTCTTTTTCTGGGAACAGGGCATTTCCCCCCTGTCAATTACCCCCCGGATATTTCCCCCCCGACATTACCCCCCAGAGTAATTACCCCCCCTGTCAATTACCCCCCTGTCAATTACCCCCCGCCCAGTAGGACATTACCCCCCCGGACAGGGTTAGAGTTAGGGTTAGGGCTAGGTTTAGGGTTAGGTTTAGGGCTAGGGCTAGGGTTAGAGTTAGGGTTAGGGCTAGGTTTAGGGTTAGGTTTAGGTTTAGGGCTAGGGTTAGGGTTAGGGTTAGGATTAGGGTTAGGGTTAGGGTTAGGGTTAGGGTTAGGTTTAGGTTTAGGGTTAGGGTTAGTTTTAAGTTTAGGTTTAGGTTTAGGTTTACGTTTGGGTTTGGGTTAGGGTCAGGGTCAGGGTCAGGGTTAGGTTTAGGTTTAGGTTTAGGTTTAGGTTTAGGTTTAGGTTTAGGTTTAGGTTTAGGTTTAGGTTTAGGTTTAGGTTTAGGTTTAGGTTTAGGTTTAGGTTTAGGTTTAGGTTTAGGTTTAGGTTTAGGTTTAGGTTTAGGTTTAGGTTTAGGTTTAGGTTTAGGTTTAGGTTTAGGGCTAGGGCTAGGGTTAGAGTTAGGGTTAGGGCTAGGTTTAGGGTTAGGTTTAGGTTTAGGGCTAGGGTTAGAGTTAGGGTTAGGGTTAGGGCTAGGTTTAGGGTTAGGTTTAGGGCTAGGGCTAGGGCTAGGGTTAGGGTTAGGTTTAGGTTTAGGTTTAGGTTTAGGTTTAGGTTTAGGTTTAGGTTTAGGTTTAGGTTTAGGTTTAGGTTTAGGTTTAGGTTTAGGTTTAGGGCTAGGGCTAGGGTTAGAGTTAGGGTTAGGGCTAGGTTTAGGGTTAGGTTTAGGTTTAGGGCTAGGGTTAGAGTTAGGGTTAGGGCTAGGTTTAGGGTTAGGTTTAGGGCTAGGGCTAGGGCTAGGGTTAGGGTTAGGTTTAGGTTTAGGTTTAGGTATGGGTTTGGGTTAGGGTTAGGGTCAGGGTTGTGTCTAGCATTGGTTTTGGTTTTGTGTGAAGTTTTAGGCTAAGGTGGATGCTTAGGTTTTTCTTAAGGTTTGGATTAAAGTAGTATATAGGTATAAAATTCTAGTTAGAGTTAGGATTTTAACTTGAGAGGGGGGGGGGGGGGGTAATTCCCCAGGGGGGTAATTGACAGGGGGGTAATTGACAGGGGGGTAATTGCTCCGGGGGGTAAATACGGGGGGGAAATGTCCGGGGGGGAAATATCCAGGGGGGTAATGTCCTGTAGCCTCTTTTTCTCTATACCATATTCAAGTGGGTCCACACACCTCTTTACTAGGGCTCTTTTTTAAAGTGGGTCCACACACCTCTTTACCAGGGCCCCATTTTTTAAGTAGGTCCACACACCTTTGTACCGGGGACGCACGTTTAAGTGCCCCCCCCCCCATACTTAACTTGGCCCCCACTCCTCTATACCGGGACCCCATGTTAAGTGGGCACCCATACATCTACCCGGGCCCATGTTTTAAAACTGTTCTAATAAATTGTAATAGTTATTGATTAAAATATACTATGTTGACAGAGTTCAGACAAGGTTTTGGAAAAATATCGATGTGCAATTTTGAGGGGGGTTTTGGGCCGAGGTGTGACGTCATTTTAGGTGGGGGTTCTGGCTTTTTGTGACGATGTGTGACGGAGGGGAGGGGGGAGGTAAAAATCGTCAAAAAAAAAAAGCCTGACGCCATTTATGGATGACCCCTAAGTTTAAATTGGGTGTATCTGAGCTTTAGCTTTTGACAATCATTTAACCATTGTCCTAGTTTCCTTAAAAAAAACAAAGAAAAAAAAAAAAATCCACATATCGACATCTTGATCGTCACTGTGTCTAGATAGACAAAAAAATTACCGTGTTGCTTATATAATCATACATTTTAGCCAGTCGTTTCGGTTCTGTTATGTATTTACACGCTGAAGTGATGACCCTGAATGACGTATTACATTGAGCATATAATCAGCCGCTGTTATTTTAAGATCTTAATGCGATGATTTGAGACGAACATAAAAAAAATACTGGAGCGAAAAAATAGAGACAGACAAGGTTGGCTTTGGTTTTACCTAAATGAAATCTCGGGCCGATTGATTAGATCAGGTCTTTTTTTGGCGAGATTCTAGATGGATGACTTGTGGAATATAAGGGGGGGGTGATAATAGAGGGATGGAATGTAGAGGCTTCGATCTCCGTTGATTATAAATATTCACGTATATATATATATATATATATATATATATATATATATATATATATATATATATATATATATATATATATATATATATATATATATATATATATATATATATATATATATGTATATACGTGTATATACATGTATATGCATGTATATGCAGGTATATGCATGTATATACAGGTATATGCATGTATATACAGGTATATGCATGTATATACAGGTATATGCATGTATATGCATGTATATACATATATAATATATACATAAATATACATGTATATATATACATATACGTATATAAACATATAATATATATATATATATATATATATATATATATATATATATATATATATATATATATATATATATATATATATATATATCTAATATATAAAGCTCAGTTCTGTAACGTGTGGCAAAAAAAAAAAAGTTTGTCGTTGACACTTCTACGGATTTAAGTGTTAGATTTTTTATCGTGCTCAAAGTCTAAATTTACGAGTCGAAAAATTACCATTGAAAGTCTTTAAAAACAATTTTCATTCTATTTACTTAGAAGAATAATTTTCAATTATGAACACGACATAAAATTTTTAAAAAGTGTATCGACGTTTATAAAATTTCTAAAATTGTGTCGGAAATGTATTGACTGCAAAGTTACTTCCCTTTAATGAAAAATAAATCCTTAAGAAGAGAGAATTAACATTTTATTACTTTGTTTTTGGTGTTAAGAAAAAAAAAATAATTACACAATTAGCGGGGATTGATTAAGTGCAATGTGGTTAGGTATTTTTAACACTGCCTTTTATTTATTCTATACACTGAACATACTGTTCAATAATTATTATTTTTTTTTTAAATCAATAACATTTAATAAGCCAGGTCCTACAAATCCTATACGTTTATTTCTTTCCATTTACGGATAAGCTTGGAGTATTATCATTTTTGTTCACTAAATTGAAACAGGCGCGTCCGCCGGCGCCCCTGCACGGTTCGATTTGGCACCCTGGGCTATCATGTGAGCGCTATGCTGCATAATTTTGTTTTGAACAGTGCGATAGACTATGGATAAGAAAGGTTACTATAGTCTTTAAGTGAATCAAATCCGGGCGTCCTCCGGCACCCCGACAGGGTGCTATTTGGCGCCCCGGGCCTTCCGGTGTACGCTATGGTATCTACGTTCGCGTGAGTTCAAAAGACTATGAATAAGTTATGCACTATAGGCGTTTACTAAGTTCAATCAGGCGGTGACGTCATGGTGCGTCCTCTGGCGCCCAGACAGGGTGCTTTTTGGGGTCCCGGGCCTCCCGTGTTCGGTTTCGCGCCTAGGTTCATTAAAGTGAGTGCAAAAGACTATGAATAAGTTGGGGTACTATAGTCGTTTATTAAGTTGAAGCAGGCGATTCAGCCCCGTGAGCACTTTGCGTTTATATTCGCGTTAGTGTTTTCTTTGTGTTTAGGTTGGGTTTGCGTTAGAGGTTGCGTTTTGATTTGGTTCGTTTTTGTTCTTTCTTTTTTCGTTTTCGTTTGTGTTTTATTTTCATTGGGTTTGTGTTTGTATTTGTGTTTGAGGTTGGTTTTGCGTTTGGATTTGGTTTGTTTTCGTTTGTTTTTTCTTTTGTGTTTTTTTCTTTGGGTTTGTGGTTGGTTTTGCGTTTGTATTTGGTTTGTTTTCGTTTGCTTTTTCGTTTGTGTTTTTTTCTTTGGGTTTGTATATGTGTTTGTGGTTGGTTTTGCGTTTGGATTTGGTTTGTTTTCGTTTGCTTTTTTCTTTGTGTTCGTATTGGTGTTTGTGGTTGTGGTTGGTTTGTTGTAAGTTTTTGTTTTCGTTTGTATTTGTAATTGTATTAGCGTTATGTTTGCGTTTTGTTGTTTTGGTTTTGGTTGGTTGTGGTTTGGGTGGGCAATGCCGGGTTTATGATGATTACTAAACACACAGGTAATGGTCTTTAACCGAAAGGTTTTTCACAGAAGCCAGAGCAGGGCCTGGCCGGGACGGCTAGTATAAAATAAATGTAATATCGATGGATGTTTCTATATATTTCTAAACAACTTGTCCCAATAAAAATGGCCTGTGCACAACTATTCAATACAAATTGCAATTACTTTTATTTTCTACCACAGGAGCTAGAAAACGACTTTGACCAGTGTGCCGTATGTATCGAGCCATACAAAGCCCATGATGTCATCCGGATACTGCCGTGCCGGTGAGTAGTGAAAACTATGTTAAAACTTTTGTCTTTGTGACTTTTATAGAGCAAGTGTCTTTTCTTGAACCATCCTGTAGCTTACAAGTGATTTTTTTTTAATCTTCTACTCTAAATGAATGAATATCACTAAAACAATAAAAAATATTGAAGATGGGTACAACGGAATACCATTGATATCGTATTTGTTTTTTTGGGAGGGGGGGGGGGGTTGTTGATGACATTTTAACGGGGTGTCTTAAGTTAGATCCGACGCCTAAGTGAGTACACTCGTGAGTTAACACGTGCATGGTGAGTTGAGTAGCCGGTAATCCTGGTATATTTGACAGGGGGTTGGCTGATCAGCTAGTCGAAAATGTGAACGATGTTTTCATTCAACTAGTCCAGATTATGACTTACCAACTGCCTAAATCAAGACTTTGAACAACAGGTTCAAATCAGACGGGACTGTTCCTGATTATGATCTACCGCCCTAATTATGAATTGACCAACTAGCCTGATTATGAATGGACCAAATGGCCATAAAATGAATGGACCAACTGGCCACATTATGAATTGACCTACTGGCTACATTATGAATTGACCTACTGGCCACATTATGAATTGACCTACTGGCCAGATTATGAATTGACCTACTGGCCAGATTATGAATTGACCTACTGGCCAGATTATGAATTGACCTACTGGCCAGATTATGAATTGACCTACTGGCCAGGTTATGAATTGACCTACTGGCCAGATTATGAATTGACCTACTGGCCAGGTTATGAATTGACCTACTGGCCAGATTATGAATTGACCTACTGGTCAGATTATGGCTTCACTCACTGCCTTTATTAAGATTTGACCAATTGCCTTAATTATGACTTGACCTACTTCCCTAATTATTATTTGACCTACTGACCTAATCATTATTTGACAAACTGGCCAGAATATGAATTGACCTACTGCCCTAATTATAGCTTGACTATCTTCATAATTACCCAACTTCTACATACATTACAAACTGACCACAACCCGGCCACGAAACCTACTTAAAACAGTAATCTGAAACACCCCACACCACTTCTGGCTTTTGTCTTGTTCATCATCTTGTCGTATATAGAATCCCAATGGGACCGAGACAGAATTAACACTTACGTAGCCGACCTTGTTGATTCGGACTGTATGTCAGTAGCCATTGCTTGAACACGGTATTAGGGGTATAACCCCCGCTTACGGTGTTGTAATGTGGATGAGGTATGAGGTATGTTTGATGAAACAAGACAAACCGCTGTAGTGACTGTTGTGGTTATGGCGATGAATAAGATTAACAGCTGTAGTGACAGTGGTAATGTGGGTGAAGTGTGTGTTTAATGAAACAAGACTAACAGCTGTGGTGCCAGTTGTGGTAATGTTGATGGAGTGTGTGTTTAATGTAACAAACCTAACCGCTGTATTGCTAGTTGTGGTAATTGTGGATGAAGTGTGTGTTTGATTCGCTGTAGTGACTGTTGTGTTCATGGCGATGAAGTGTGTTCAATGAAACGAGACTAAGAGATAATGTGGGTGAAGTGTGTGTTTGATCCAGCACGACGAACCGCTTTAGTGACAATTGTGTTTATGGTGATGAAGTGTGTGTTCAATGAAACAATACTAGGCTAACCGCTGTAGTGACTGTTGTGGTTATGGCGATGAATAAGATTAACAGCTGTAGTGACAGTGGTAATGTGGGTGACGTGTGTGTTTAATCAAACAAGACCGCTGTAGTGACAGTTGTGTTTATAGTGATGGAGTGTGTGTTTAATGAAACAAAACTAACCGTTGTAGTGCCAGTTTTGGTAATGTGGATGAAGTGTGTGTTTGATGCAACAAGACTAACCGCTGTAGGGCGATCCGTCCAAATTAACCGAGAAACAACCGCTGATAAAAAAATGTCTGGCGATGACAGGCCAATTCAACATCAGGAGCAGAGTTTTAGTGCTAGGGTAGTTAGGTAAACACGGGTCATGATGATACACGGGTCGTGGTGATACACGGGTCGTGGTGATACACGGGTTGTGGTGATACACGGGTCGTGGTGATACATGGGTCGTGGTGGTACACGGGTCGTGGTGATACATGGGTCGTGGTGATACACGGGTCGTGGTGATACACGGGTTGTGGTGGTACACTGGTTGTGGTGATACATGGGTCGTGGTGATACACGGGTCGTGGTGATACACGGGTTGTGGTGGTACACGGGTCGTGGTGATACATGGGTCGTGGTGGTACACGGGTCGTGGTGATACATGGGCCGTGGTGATACTGAGGTCTTCTTGGTGATACTGGGGTCGTGATATACTGGGGTCTTCGTGATAACCGGGTCTTCGTGATTCTGGGGTCTTCGTGGTGAGACTGAGGTCTTCGGGATACCGGGGTCATGGTGACACACGGCCCTTGATGAGTTTAGGTTCGTGGTGATATTGGGGTGATACACGGGTCGTAATGTTACTAGGGTTATGGATATACTAGGGTCAAGGGAATACTGGGGTCGTGGTAATACACCGACCATGGGGATACACGGGTCAGTGTGATAGTAGGTTTGTGTGTGGGTGGGGAGGGGGGGGTGCGTCTGGTAATCAGGTTAATGGGATTTTCGGCTTGTCTTGGGGGAGGTGAGGCGGTATCAATGTCGCTGTGACACCTAGTAATTCTTTGGAGGGAGGGGATAATGGAGTCGTCTGTAAACGACGTCACGTTGTTAGTAGATTTTTAACCCTTTCTTTAAACACGGCAACCAACTCCCTCCCCCTCCCCCATTACCACTCCCCATGAGGCCGCCCTTCCAAGTAACCTTATTTCTAATGCTGGTTGACGTGGTTGTTTTTATTTTTTTTATTTTTAAAAAAAACATGGTTGTAGTAATTGAAGAAAGGAAATGTAGGATTCGTCCGATTTCTTGAATGCCCTCACATAGCGTATCAGTTATTCCCCCACCCTCTCCCCATCTGCTCGTCTCCACTGTGTGTGTGAGTGTGTGTGTGAAGTATGGAGCACAACTAACAGGGTCAAGACTTCACAAGTGGTTGTGTCAGGTCATGGTAAATCTGGGGTTTTGTCTATATATATATATATATATATATATATATATATATATATATATATATATATATATATATATATATATATATATTTATTTATTTATTTATTTATTTATAAAATATAGCTTACAAACGGGCAGTGGCAGCATGTTATGGGTGAAGATCGCAGGAGAGTCTGTACTAACTTTTGTACTCGTCGTTTCCCAGCTCGTTAACAGTTTTTTTTTCTTTCGTCTCGTTAAACTGGCCGGTCACGTGAAGCCGACTGAAAGGCACTGATTGGTTAACTCGTCTGCTTCGGTGGCGATGTATTGATCACGTGTCTACGCTGACCTTACAGTTAAAGGGTCAGAGGTTAAAGGGTAATTAGGGCATTTTCAAAGTTAAAAAACAAATATATATATAAAAAAGTTAAAATGAAAATGGATTGAGTGCATGTCACGTCTCGTTCGTGTCACGTACTTATATCACGTGATAATCACGCGTGTCGTTGATAAGTTGCTGTCATATGTCACGTTGGTGGTCATATTCGTTGCTGGTGATATGTCACATTCCGGTCGTGTCACGTACAGGTATATCACATATATTGTCACGTGTGTGGATGTCACGTTGTTGCCATATGTCACATGTCATGTCACATACAGATGTACCACGTTGCCGTCGACAACGAAGTCTTAAAATTCCACAGAGGACACTCATGGTCGAACACAAGAGCACTCGGCATGCGTCTAGAACCGTTCTTGTTCGATTCCTACTTTCAGCTGTTCTTGTTTACACGTACTTTGTACCCGACATTAAACAAAGATACTTTGGTGTTTATCAATTTAGCAAAACACAGTAGGAACTGGACAGTTGTAATCTATAAAACAACATGAAAGCCAACACAAGCTTCGTATTACAGTCTCGGATTCGTATTGCAGTCTCGGATTCGTATTGCAGTCTCGGATTCGTATTGCAGTCTCGGATTCGTATTCCAAATTCGTTCGCGTTACAAATTTAAGGTTCATGTTTTGAACATCTTATTCTTGTCTTACGTCGTCTGTTCAATACGTCTACAATGTCAACAATGAATCAAGTAGATTACAAACAAAATTAAAATATCGTCTTGCAGCCGTGGTTAATGTTGCTTATATATATATTATATAATATAGGTCGGATGGATTTTGAGGGGGGGGGGAGAGCACAAAAAGCCTAGGGTACTAGATAGTTTCTGACGATGTACCGTAAAATACTGTAGTCCTACATGCGTAACACCGCATTTCCACTTGCGACATATATTATTATACACGTCTAGGAAAACACAAACTCGCAAGAAAACTCGTATGAAATCATTTTTCCCATAGAATATGTTTGCTTTCTTGTTTCGAAATTGTTTTTTAGGCATGTACAGTATATATGTGAAGAATAAATGTCGCAAGTATTGGGAAGTATATATGTCGCAAGGATAAACGCACTGTCATAGACTATACTTTGGTGATTTCCCCTTATCATTACCTTTCCAACAAATCTTAAAAAATAAATGAATTATCAATAGACAAATCGACTTTATTCTTTGAAACCATCAGTTCTCATTATTTCCAATTGTTGTTGTTTTGTTCCAAATGTATTTGTGCAGCAAAAATACACTTTAAAGGCATTTCGCAATGAGTTTAAAATAGATTTTTTTGTTTTCTAACAACCGCACCAACAGGCGTCTTGTCTTAATGGTTGTTTTATGTTGTCTTACAAGAGAAAAAAATAAGAGAGACTCCTTTGACGTGAGCACTCTAAGAGAGAGTTTGACTCACGCTTGAGAAAACGTGTCGAATACCTTGCATGCACTTCTGGCCGCGTCTACAGAATTTTTTTTTTTAATCACGTGATCAAGGCGCGTATTTTTATTGGCGGAATAGCCTTTTTAAACCACAGAGGGCGTATTCAATTTCCTTTTACTTTGTTAGGAGTTGTGATTATTTATATTAGTCTCATTCTTATGTTATATTTGAAATAAGAAAACTAATATGAAAGTTGGTGTTTGTTTTTCAATGACTATGTAATGGGGCGTAACACAAACAGGCTTAATAAGTTACACCCGAAGTAATCAGGCATTATTGACATAGATAACGTATGGTACGTCTACATGTGTCTGTATGTGAAGTCCTTTTTGAACCTGACAGTCCATGATAAAGTAAAGTAGAGTTCAACTGTTAATTCATGTGTCTCCTACTTTCTGTTTCAGTCATGTGTCCCTTAAGTCATGTGTCCCTTAAGTCATGTGTCCCATAAGTCATGTCTCCCTTAAGTCATGTGTTCCTTAAGTCATGTGTTCCATAAGTGATGTGTCCCTTAAGTCATGTGTCCCTTAAGTCATGTGTCCCTTAAGTCATGTGTCCCTTAAGTCATGTGTCCCTTAAGTCATGTGTCCCTTAAGTCATGTGTCCCTTAAGTCATGTGTCACATAAGTCATGTGTCACATAAGTCATTTGTCCCTTAAGTCATGTGTCTCCTACTTTCTGTTTCAGTCATGTGTCCCTTAAGTCATTTGTCCCTTAGTCATGTGTCCCTTAAGTCATGTGTCCCTTAAGTCATGTGTCCCTTAAGTCATTTGTCCCTTAGTCATGTGTCCCTTAAGTCATGCGTCCCTTAAGTCATGTGTCTCCTACTTTCTGTTTCAGTCATGTGTCCCTTAAGTCATGTGTCCTTTAAGTCATGTGTCCTTTAAGTCATGTGTCCCTTAAGTCATGTGTCCCTTAAGTCATGTGTCTCTTAAGTCACGTGTACCTTAAGTCATGTGTCACTTAAGTCAAGTGTCCCATAAGTCATGTGTCCCTTAGTCATGTGTCCCTTAAGTCATTTGTCCCTTAGTCATTTGTCCCTTAAGTCATTTGTCCCATAAGTCATGTGTCCCTTAGTGTCCCATTAGTCATGTGTCCCTTAAGTCACGTGTTCCTTAAGTCATGTGTCTCCTACTTTCTATTTCAGTCATGTGTTCCACAAGTCATGCGTCGACCCATGGCTGCTTGACCAGAGGTCGTGTCCCATGTGTAAGCTGGACATACTACGAGCGTACGGAATGCAGGTCAGTACCCCCCCCCCCCCCATTCCCCCCTCCCCCCATTCCCCCCTCCCAACTGTAGGTAACAGCATCATTACATTAACTACACAGCTTCAGGGTAACTGACTATTGGTAATTGTTTTAGTTTTTTATTACATGAAACGTTTGATTGAAGCCGACCGTTCTCAATAATTAATTATCAATTAACGTGATTGTGTATATTTGTATTGTCATCTCAGAGCCAAACATGCAATGCGTTAGTTTTCCATAGAATGTGTTCATTTGTGTTGAATTGTCATGTTTGGTGTTGACATGATGTTATGACCCGACATGATGTTTTATCCTGACATGATGTTTTATCCTGACATGATGTTTTATCCTGACATGATATGACCCGACATGATGTTTTATCCTGACATGATGTTATGACCCGACATGATGTTTTATCCTGACATGATGTTATGACCCGACATGATGTTTTATCCTGACATGATGTTATGACCCGACATGATGTTATGACCCGACATGATGTTATGACCCGACATGATATGACCCGACATGATGTTATGACCCATCATTATGTAATGACCAATCATAAAAATGTATGCTGACACAACTTAAAATCCCTCTAACAACAAACAGACTCCTGGATGCAACTAATTCACATAACGGCCTTTGGACAAGCCTGTTGTAGTTTTTGAGTGTCTAGAATTAGCCATTTAAAAACCTGTTTCCTGTGCGTTATCTTTGTGTTATTTACGTCTGCGTACGAGATTAAAGTCATGGACATTATTTGTTTCGTTGGTTGTAATTGTTTTAAATGTTTTAATGTGAGATGAAGGGGGGGGGGGGGGGTCAGATCTAGGAGAGAGAACGTGTATCCGGTGATTATGTAGATTTAAAATAGAAGCGATGAACACAACAGGAAGTGGGTAACTTCCCTTGGTTTGATAACAATCATTGTGGTGGACTTTGGTGTGACATGTGCAGTGGCCAGGGGCGGATATGTTGGCCATGGCCAGGGGCGGATATGTTGGCCATGGCCAGGGGCGGATATGTTGGACTTGGCCAGGGGCGGATATGTTGGCCATGGTAAGGAGCGGATATGTTGGCCATGGGGCAGATATGTTGGCCATGGGGCAGATATGTTGGCCAGGGGCGGATATGGTGGCCATCAGAGTTTCTTCCAGACATTTCTTAGGAGTGATAGCTCATGGTTGCAAACTCAAAGTCCCGAGTTTCAACCCCCCCCCCCCCCCGGTCAGATTAGGCCAAAACTCCTCAAGCTAACAACCATCTTGCTGTTATTTCTTGGGTGGACTAAGGCCATGAAAGCAAATCCAGAAAGACAAGCAGTTTGAATTCTGAGTCAACTGGCCATTTGACACGTAAAATTTAATTGAGTGTAAGGAAATCTTATCCAATATTAGCAATGAAGAACGAAAAAAAAATAATAACATGAAACATAAATACAAATACAACGAGTTATATTACATTATACATAAATTATCATCAAATGTAACCCAAACCACACAACTCTCCTTGACTTGAAGCTAAACCTCGATAAAGTTTATGCTCTTCTCACCGAAAAAAAAAAGCGTGTAAGGGTAGGCATCCCTGTTAAACTAATGTGTTGGTACAGGATCGTGAAATAGCGAGCGCCTGTGTTATATCGGAACGCCCTGTTTTCACGGTGATCAATAAGAAACGCCTGCCAACAATTTTAACTGGGGCAGGTCTCCGGTGACGCCGTCAATCAAATAACCTTTAACCTTTGATCTGTAAATCTCCTTGCCCTAAAACACACATAGATAATATCGAAAGTTTTTTTTTTTTGTCGTCTTTATCCAGAACACATTTTGAGTATTTGGTTGGTATATATATACACACACACACACACACACACACACACACACACACACACACACACACACACACACACACACACACACACACACACACACACACACACACACACACACACACACACACACACACACACACACACACACACACACACACACACACACACACACACACACACACACACACACACACACACACACACACACACACACACACACACACACACACACACACACACACACACACACACACACACACACACACACACACACACACACACACACACACACACACACACACACACACACACACACACACACACACACACACACACACACACACACACACACACACACACACACACACACACACACACACACACACACACACACACACACACACACACACACACACACACACACACACACACACACACACACACACACACACACACACACACACACACACACACACACACACACACACACACACACACACACACACACACACACACACACACACACACACACACACACACACACACACACACACACACACACACACACACACACACACACACACACACACACACACACACACACACACACACACACACACACACACACACACACACACACACACACACACACACACACACACACACACACACACACACACACACACACACACACACACACACGAGGCCTATGTGTGTATGTATGTAGCTCTGACGGACGAAAAACATGTAACGTAGTTTGGACAAAATAAGCGTAATGTGTGTCTGTGTGTCGATTTACAAGCAGTAGTAATGTATTGTGTTAAAAAAAGCATAAAAAACGTTTTTATAACCAGCTTTTGTTTAATATTTTGAAACGAATCTGTCCGTTAGATGTGGTCGAAATTTCGCTCGGCAGTTTCGATCCATAACGCAAGGCAGACAGACAGACAGAGAAAGCAAGTTAAATAAAAGCTTGTAATAATGAGTGTGATGCTTAGTTGTGTCAGCACTAAGGAGAAAAAAAAAACACACAATGTTATGAAGTAAAAATTATTGAATTTATGGTCAAATACAAATTTATTTTATATTTTATTATGTAATCTGCAGTTAAAATATTGTAAAGTATAGTTATATCAGTAAAAAGTAAGTGTAATGTATAGCTACTGCAGTTACAAATAAGTGTAATGTTAGCTACTACAGTAACTAATAAGTGTAATGTGTATTTACCGCAGTAACAAGTAAGTGTAATGTATAGTTACCGAAGTAACATGTGTAATGTAGTTACCGCAGCACTTAAGCATGCGACTTGTGTGTACTCTCAAAGTTATGCGGGTAAACAAGCAACAGTCCATGTCAATTAGCTGTACTCACATTTTTTTCTGTGTGTCTATATGTGTATGTGTGTGGTGAGGGGGGTAGGGTATGTGTGGGGGTGGGGGGGAGATGGCTTGGTGCCAGACCACTTTCCAGCATTGTCTGCCAGCCACCGTAGGTGTCTTACACTCTCTCGGCTGGCGTGTACACTTGTCAGTTAAGTGAGGGGGGGGGGGGTAGTAAGGGGATAAATAACGATGATTCGTTTAAAACGAGAAATGTTGAAATAGGAACGGGTAGATGTAATGTTTTTTGAAGGAAAGTTAACCGGGTTGGGGGGTATTTGTTGAAAAATTCGGGCGAGGTTGGAAGGAGCGAGGTGCGTATTAGGAGGAACAAATTTGAAATAAATATGCATGAGAGGGGAGATAACGATGTCCGGTCCCCTCGGACCAGGGGAGACAACGTCTGGCTGTGTGATTGACAGGAGCCCGTCATGATCTGTCTAGTGTGTGCCTGGTTGGTCTGTGTTTCGTCTGCGCTCCATTCTTTACAGCTCACACTCTGCTTACATGTGTAAGTGAGGGTAACTGCTGGCACGTTGGTTAGAGCACTATGCTGATAGAACCTCCACATTATACCTCCTTACACATCCACACTGCACCTCAGCATTACATCTTTACACATTGACATAATACACCTCATTACACATCCACATTATATATCATTACACATCCACATTACATCTTATTACATATACACATTATATCTTATTACACATACACATTACACCTTATTACACATCCACATTACATCGTATTACATATCCACATTACATCTTATTACACATCTATATTACACCTTATTACACATCTACATTTCACTTCCTCATTACAACTTTACACATTAACATAATACACCTTATTACACATTCCTATTTTACACCCATTACACATCCACATTACATCTTATTACACATCCATAATACATCTTATTACACATTCACATTACATCTCATTACACTTCCACACTGCATCTTTACCTATCCGCATTACACCTCCACATTACAATTCCCCAGATTGCACCAGCCCATTACACCTCATTATACCTTCACATTACACCTCCACATTACACCCCTCATATCACCAACTTACACTTCACAATACACCACCATTATATCTAAATTATTCTCAGTAAGGAATTTGTAATTCCATTTGTGATAATAACCTAAGCAGCTTAGCTTACATCCCATTACACCACACAGCTTACATCCACACATAACATCTTCATAAACATAACTGCTTACACCTACTGCACACTTCACATCTTAAACTCAGTCTATTCCATTTCTCTGTAGCTTCGCCTCCTCCCCTCACTCTTCCTGTTTCTCCTTTTATTTTTTCAACAGTCTATTCCAGTGGTTCCCAACCTTTTTCGAGTGGCGACCCCCTTTTATAAAAATTAAGTGACCCGCGACCCCCATAGAATTAAAAAGCCGAAATTAGTATGGAAATTAATAAGCACTAAAATAAGATTTTCTAGTAGACTTTCAATATGAACTACTCTAGATAACTGTTTTAATACCATGAGTAAAATTGCATACTATTCACTAAACATTCGCGGTTAATATTTTTTTAAAGTATTTTTTTGTTAACGCCAACCTATGTCATTATCATTATCTTAATTGTGTTTTTAATCGAAAAATAGTGTTCAAAATAGAATTATATTCTCGAAAAGTCAATGAATTTTACGTTTGGATATAAATGGTTAATACTACACCAAAATTGTGTCTGCAGTTTTTCATCTTAAGCGGAATCTTTCTACTAATCAAAGAATTCATCTTGTAATTCTCGGGAATGCTGGCAACATCAAGGGAAGAAGAGAATGGGTAATGCGTCAATGCAGATTCTTCTTCTTTCCGCTCAGAGAAATAGCGCTGCAGTTCGTTTTCAATAGATTCAAGATGCCCAGAAATTTCTTCTTTCAAACTTTTAATTATCTTACAATTAGATTCATCTACCACACTGCAGAGTTTCTCAAATTTACAATATTTTCGCCGATTTTGCAGCTTTGATAAAAATGCCCCGAGATTGTCATGGAAAGTGATAATATTCGTTCATTTTCCCTGAAGCTTCAGGTTACGCTTATGTTGATGTTTGAACACATCTGCTAGATATGATACTCTGTTCAACCACTCTATGTCGTTTTAAGTATACCAAAAGGTCTTGTTTCCTTTGCACTTCTAAGAACAATTTGATTTCAGATTTCAATTCAAAACACGATTCACAACAATTCGTTTGACAGCCAGCGCACTGTAGGGTAGAAGAGCAGAACCTCGTGATCTATATTAATGTTTTTGCTCAGTTCTTTGAAGGCTCCAGATTTTATATAATTTACGACTTATACTAGCAATGGAGTCTTGATGGCGATTGGTGAGGGCAGTGGTTAGGGAGCTAAATCTTTTGCTTTCTGAAAGCCCGATTTTGACCTAAACAAAGATGGTGTACCATCCGTACAAACCCTCACAGCCGTTTTAACCCATTTTAATCATCCAATTTAAAAAAAAAACGTATTTATTTTCTCCATGCTATCTTCACAAAAGAGCAATTCATCTTTGCTATCATCTGAATAAATATAGACAAAGACCAGCAACTGCGAACACGAACTCGCGTCTGTTGATTTATCAACTTGAAAAGCAAACAATGGTGAAAGCTTAATTTCAATAAAAATTTGTTATTTAACATCTACGGAAATGTAAGAATTAACTTCACCAACTTCAACATTCAGCGTTTGATGAGATCTTCTCCTATTGTGTTTTTTTTTTTGCTTGGCATTTTCTGTCGCGACTTAATGTGATGCTTGCACTAATGCCGTGTTTCCTTGGTGAAAACTTCCTGTTCGATCAAGTCTCTGACGTTTGCAACTAGCTTCATACCGACAAAAGAACTCCTTATCTTTTTTGGTGTGTTTCGAATAACTAGTGTCAAATGACGTTTTAGTTTTGAAGATTTCATAAACTCGTGACCGAGAACAACTTTGTACAGTACGCTTTGCTTCTTCTCTATTCCCTTTCCAGTGATGTCAGTAAAGCCGAATTTCAAAAATTCTTCTAAATATTTATGTTTTGTTTCAAATTACTAAGGTTTAGTATACCAGTTGGCGACCCCCCAGGAAGCCCTTCGCGACCCCCAGGGGGGTCGCGACCCCCAGGTTGGGAACCCGTGGTCTATTCCATTTCTCTGTAGCTTCGCCTCCTTTCCTCACTCTTCCTGTTTCTCCTTTTATTTTTTCAACAGTCTATTCCATTTCTCTGTAGCTTCGCCTCCTCCCCCACCCCTTCCCATCTTCTGCCTTTTTCTCTTCCAACAGTCTTGCCATTTCTCCTGGTAAAATTTCATTCTATCTCCCCAGGTTGGTGGCAGCCAGGAGTCTGTGCGGCCTGACCCCGAGGTGGGCCACGCCCCGGCCAGACTAGTCCCCCAGCACACGGAGCCCGAGCCAGGCTCAAGCCACGGGGAGCCCAACCCTGAGGACATGAAGGTGCTGCTGGTGGCTCACTCCTGCCTTCATTTCCACGTGCCCAGGGACAAGGAGCAGAAAGACGAGGCCTCCACCAGCCTCCTGGGGGCGGTGGGCGGGGTGGAGTTGGTCTCCCTCCCCCACTCTAGTTCCTCCAGTTCTTTGAATTCTAAAGCCAGCGGCAACACGCGGGTGCGGAGGTGCGACGCTGAAGCTGGGGGGAGCCCGGAGAAGGAGGCGCTGCTAAGCGGGAGCAGCGAGGAGGGGATTAGGAGGTGGAAGAGTGAGGAGGAGGAGGAAGAGGACTTTGATGATGCCCGAGCAACCAAAAGTGATAACAGCGGCCAGATTTCTTTGATAGAGTCGACCGAGCTGAAAGACAAAGGGAAGAAACACAAGCGGAAAAACAGGGAGAGAAGCGGGGAAACCAGCCACGACTCGTCATCCCTGGCAAGCGACGCCTGGGAGGCCGACGTCACTAACAACGTGTCAGAAGAGACTGACCAGGACAAAGATAGTTGTTCGTGCGTGACGGCCGGCAGCGACGACGAGAGTTGCAACAGCAGTATGAAGGTGGAGTTCCGCGGCGTCCTAGAAGACGAGCTGGAGTCGACGGCGTGAGGGTCAAGGTTTTGGCGGCGTAAGTGACCAGCGAGTGACCAGGACGACTTGGGACCCAAGTCAGCTCAATAGTTCATCCCTGTAGGGACCGAGCATTCTATTCGTTAATCTGGACAAAAAAAATAATTCCTGCACATGTGTTAAAAGTTTAGAATTGAGTTGTTTAATAGCATGTGGTTAGATTAATTAGCTGAACTATTCATCTTGCGTAAATTGGCCAACAAAGAAAGCAAATTTGGCAACAAAAAAAAGGCAATTTGGCCAACAAAAAAATGCGCCTGGCATGTTTACATTTTTAAAATAGTTTTTCTCTCTTTCCTACACAGAGAACATTACATTGTTTTTAATATCTAGATCATTCTTAGTCATGGAATTGTAATTCTATTTATCAATGAAACTTGATCAGCATTCATTTCTGTGCACACATTGTTTATATGATTCATGAGAAAGGCATCAGATGGTTGGGGAGTGGATGCATGGAGGGGTGGGGGGTAGACGTGTGGATATTATTTCACTATTATTTTAACATCCCCTTAACTAATATTTCAGCAGTGACATTTGATTATAGAAATGCATCACTGTAATATCTAGAAGATCATCTAGAAAATGTATTTTTCATCTACAGTCCTTAGCTTGTATTACAACAAATTATACTGGCCTGTGAAATAAGAAACTGTAAAGAAGGTCAAAAAACAATTTTGATTCTGGAAGTAACAGTAAACAAAGAAGGGGTTTAGTATTACAGAAACTTAACATTCTAATCTAATACGGTGCTGGAAATACCCCTTCTCCAACCCCCAACCCTCATCCTTTCCCCAAACCCCATCCTTACCCCGACCTCCATCCCCTCCCCAACACTAGGTAGCTGTAACTGCTTAGACATCCCTTCCTGTTTTGTTTCACCTTTAGATATTTTTACAATTGTATAGAGTCAAGTCTCACACCCAATGCCTGATTGATGAGAGAGGCCTGGCTTAATTTATGGTGACAGGCATGATGCCGCTGCTTAATGATTGGTTTTGTTGAAGTGGTGAAAGGCTTGAATCTTGTAAGGGTTTGTTTTTCATTGAAGTATTTTGTCTGCAGATCACTTCAGCTAAATTTGTGTTTTTCTTAATTAGCCACCACTCCAGAAAAGCTTTGTTACTGTCAATTAGCCAACCCATGAAAAACGTGGGTTCCTGTTAATTAGCCAACACCTCAAAAAAACTTAATTAGCTAACACTGATAAAAAATTTGGATACTCGTTAATTAGCCTACACTTTTTAGAAAAGCTTGGGTACTCGTTAATAAGCCTGACCCAAATCTTTGTATACCTAGTATCCATCGTATTAAAACACCGATCTTGAACCAATCTTAAATTATGAAAATAATTATCAGTGATTTATTCTATATGAACATGTAGATATGGCTAATCATTCAGAAGTAGTAGTTTACCTCAGAAACAATGTGACTTGCATACCCTAACCTAAGTAGTTATTATCTTCTTAACGAATAATTAGGTATGGGGAATCTGTTGCAAATAGTTAACACCCAGTGTTATTGACTTAAACAGGCATTATGTTAATCTTGTAAGAGGATTTGGGTGTGACTTATCTATCGATGTATTAATTATCTATCAAAATTAGTAGCTCAACTTATAACCAGTGTGGTTTGGGCATACCCCAGGAACTAGCTGATGTGGTTTAGTGCTCAACTTAAAACCAGTGTGGTTTGGGCATACCCCAGGAACTAGGTGATGTGGTTTAGTGCTCAACTTAAAACCAGTTGGTTTGGGTATACCCCAGGAAGTAGGTGATGTGGTTTAGTGCTCACCTTAAAACCAGTTAGTTTGGGCATACCCCAGGAACTAGCTGATGTGGTTTAGTAGAGGTAGAGAGTTTGTTGATGGACTGTGATAACTTGATGTATCAGAATTAGATGTTGTTTGTTTACACTTGTTTTGGTGTACGCGGGTCATGTGTGGTGATCGGGTCATGTGTAATGGTCATTTGAGATGGTCATCTGGTCATTTTAGATGGTCAGGTGGCCATTTTAGATGGTCATTTGAGATGGTCATCTGGTCATTTTAGATGGTCATGTGGTCATTTTAGATGGTCATGAGGTCATTTTAGATGTTCATGAGGTAATTTAAGATGGCCATGTGGTCATTTTAGATGGTCTTGTGGTCATTTAAGATGGTCATCCGGTCATTTTAGATGGCCATGAGGTCATTTTAGATGGTCATGTGGTCATTTGAGATGGTCATGTGGTCATTTGAGATGGTCATGAGGTCATTTGAGATGGTCATGTGGTCATTTTAGATGGTTGTTTAAGATAGTAGGCACAGGATGTCTGTTGCATCTGTAGATGTTGTTCTAGGAAGTGTTGTATATATTCCTGACCCAGTGTACATGAATTTGATGTCATTTTTAAAACAAAATTATTTGGAAACATTTTTATTTTAAAGAAATATATTTTACATGCAATGTGTATTTTCTAGAAATTTTATTTTTAAAAAATATCTAAAAACTATTCCTTAATTTTCGGTTCATATGTTAATATTTTGTTTTCTTTAATTTGTAATACCATTTTTTATGTAACCCAAATTATTTACACATCAGGAAACACTTCCTGTTTCAAGTGTTAAACCTTTGCATGTATGCTTCCTTTTGCATTGTTAATGAAATCTAGACAAGATCATTGATAACTTTCAGTACTTGATTGCTAATTAAATTGAATTAGTTGTAGATCTATAGTCGTTACTGATCTTTTCCGACATAGCAGTAACGAACTCTAGGCTTTGTGGTCATCCTGTCATTCAAATGTTGCCAGGGCATTCATTGTCAGTAAATTGTCACTATGAATGTAATATGTAACTCTGTGTGTTTATCTGAATTTTATAACAAGTCCATTGCTACATTTTACACTGTACTAAAACAAGTTGGCTAAAACTTATAGTATTTTTATTTAGTTTGAAGACAATTGTTTACATACAGGTTTAAATTTTTTGATGATGTACCACATACATCGCATTTACTTTGCATTTTTTTTAAATAAAATTAATGACAAAGATTCAGACACCCCTGAAAATGTTAATGCTCGTTAAAACTAATTATGGTTAAATTTGGGAAAGATGTGGTCAGTAGTTTGAAGGACAAAACCTGAAAAAAACCGGGGTGGGGGGGGGGGGTGGGGTATAGGTGTTTAGCTTTGCTATGAATTGTTTCAGCTGGCTGTTTCTCTTCTGGACAGTAGTTTGTGCTAAGGGGGGTGGGGGGGGGGGGGGGGAGAGTGGCTGTGAGAGAGGATGTGGATGTAAGGGGGGGGGGGAAGAATATATGTGGACTATGCATGCAACACATTCCCTAAGTTCCCTATATATGTGATGGTTGTATCAGATGACACATATGTTACCAGTTCCCAAACTTTTTGTTTTTTACTCACCAGCTCTCACTAGAGCTGTTCTAACAGACAGTCCTAACCCCTCGGAAACTGCTCAGCAACCAGACAGCTAAATAGCTTTAATCCGTTACTAACAGATCAATCACCAATTAGTCAATGGTCAATAACCAGTCAGTCAATGATCAATAGATGGTCAGTTATTGGTAAATCCCCAACTTTTAAACCCTCAGTAAACTGATCATTAACTGGTCAATAACCAGCATAGAAACTTTTCAATAACTGATCAATAACAGTGTTAAATAACATCCGGTCTATAGTCAATCATATGGTCTATAGCAAGCTCGTAAATTATCAATAGATGTTCAGGTATTGGTAAATCCCCAGCTTTTAAGCCTTCAATAAACTGGTCATTAACTGGTCAATAGCAACTTTTCAATAACTGATCAATAACAGTGTTATATAACATCCAGTCTATAGTCAATGATATGGTCTTTAGCAAGCTTGTAAATTATCAATACATGTTCAGGTAATGGTAAATCTCCAGCTTGTAAACTTTTAGTAAACTGGTCATTAACTGGTCAATAAGTGATCAATAGCAGCTTAGAAACTTTTCAATAACTGGTCATCAATTAGCCAATAGCCATTTAGAAAATTTTCAATAACTGGTCAATAATATGGTAGTTACCTTTTGTTAATCTGGTCAATAGTCAATCAAATGGTCTACAGCAAGTTCGTAAATTATCAATAGCCGGTCAGTAAACTCTCAGTAAATGGACAGTTACCGGTTAGTACCTGGTTGATAGCAGGTTAGTAACGGGTTAGTTACTGGCCAGTATTGTTCTATGGATATGGAATGAATAAATGTCTTTATATTAGCTATAAAAACTTCTAACAAAGATAAGAGTGAAAAAAGAATACAACCTACATTTGAAGGAGTGTTGTCTAGGCTGTATGATTAAACATACCAGGACAAAAATATAAGGTCCAATTTTTGGACTTTTTCATAAGTCTATTGTGAGGGAAACTGGCGGAAGTTTAGGATGAACTCATTGTAATACATGTTTGTAGGTGTAGTGTATTTGTTCATGATTGCTACACAAATTTAACTAACTTGATGATTGAATGTACTAAAACTAAATTTATGAAATTATGTTGATTCCTGAAAAAAAAAAAGTTCTAATAGTTTGTTAGTGTCATAATTTGTATGTTTTTTTTACACATTTAATTAATCTAAGTTGATTAGATGAAGCTGATTGTAAAAAAAAAAAAAAATTAATTAAAATTTAACTAATGTAAATCACTTTTGACTTATAAAAAATAAAGATTTGTATCAATTTACAATACTCATTGAATGCTAAATGTGGATGCTATGTTACCTTCAATACAATTTGCTATTTCATTCTAGATGTTGTGTTGAAAGTTTGTTTTAATGGATTGTGGCGGTCACTGGTTGGTCAGATGATGTAGGGTGAATGTGTAGCAATAGAAGTTTGCTATTAATGTCACTATCATAGGATAAGTCTGTTGCTATTGATGTCAATATCATAGGATAAGTCAGTTGCTAATGATGACACTAGCATAGGATAAGTCTATTGCTAATGATGTCACTATCATAGGATAAGGGGTCATCCATTTATGACGTCCACAATTTTTTGGGATTTTGGACACCCCCCCCCCCCCCCCCCCCCCCCCCCCGTCCACAAAAATCCACTTTTTTTCCCTTATAAAAGTCCATATGCGCCCACAAAAGTCAGTTTTTTTTCTGACCCCCCCCCCCCCCTCGTGTGTGGACGTCATAAATGGATGACCCCTAAGTCTCTTGCTAATGATGTCACTATCATAGGA